TTTACCACCTCACCTGATTCCTTCTTTTTCTAACTCACCTTGGGGTTTGAATTCACAAATCTATTCCTCAATTCAATGGCTTTGTATGTTTCATTTTGTGGGTTATACAATGTGTTACCAATATCTTCATCCTTAGCTTCTGGATTATCTCAGCAGAAACAAGAGTTTCTGAGATTGTCGATGCAATTTGGAGGGTTTTTTCTTCTTCTTCTTCTCAGCCTTCAAGGATTTAGAGGGATGACATGGATATGATACACTAAAAGGGATTTTGTTTCTTGTTTGTCACAACATTTCATGATTTTGTTGAGTTTAATTTTGTAAGGCTGATTATACTTTTAGTTTTTTTGAGTTTTATGTATTATTTATGTTGTTGATGAAATGTTTGTTTTAACTTTAAGCATTTAGTTAGTTTTATACGACTTTTCACACACACACACACACACACACACACACACACACACACACACACACACACACACACATGCACACATACACGCATGCATGCACGCACACACACACACACACACGTGAAAAGGAACATAATAGTTATATAAGCACCTTTCAAAAACCTCTCTTGAATCACCTCTCATTCAGTCATTATAGACATATTCTATTTATCATCCTTTATCACATCATCATTATTAGACCAAAGCCTTTTCTAGTGCGCATAAATCTCATCCATACACATGGGTCTATCAAGTTTCATCTTCTTTGAAATTACATAACCACGTGGAAGACCGTACGTCTTCTTAAGCATACAACGACACTTATTTATATGAACTCGTTTTCTCTATTTGCCTGGCTTCATGATATATAATATCCAATTCGCTTGAGATATACTGCCCACTTACTATAAATAAAGATTGTTGTATATGAATTTGTATTCTAATATTGTAATGTTACGACCAAATGATATTTGAATCTTGATATGTTGCTTTTGGATCATTTGGCTCACGGAGTCCTAAGCTCTATATCAATCACCTTTACTATTTCCCAACAAATTATTCAATGTAGCATGAGTGGATTTGTAATACCTATATATAATACATGTCTAGAAATACATATTATACATAGTTGTAAAGTTGGTACTGAAATACATAATTGCCTAGTGGCAACGTTGTACATATTACATGCCCAAAATAGTACTACAACAACGACACAATACAAGGGTGCCCAAAACATAAAAACTAGGAACTAGATCATTGTAAAATGATCTCCAAAATAACTACACAGTGGATACGCCATCCAAAATAACAAAAGAAGCAAGGACATCACATTATCTTGTCCTTACTCTTTGCCTGATCAGAACCACCTGAAAATAATCAACAAATATATGGTGAGATAATAATCCCAGCGGGTTCCCTATCTTATGGGTCCACTCAACTCTATAAGGTTCTAATCATCCTCCTAACTCAAGTCACAAAGGGGATAGGATTTGAGTTCACAAAACTCGTATTATATGGAAACATGTTGCTTAAGTTCACCAACTCAAACCATCACTAATCGGAAACCATACCAAGGTATCTTTCCCTGACTAACCCTACGTCTAGAGTTATCGACATGGATCACAGATCCTTGTATCATACTTTGAAATACGCATGGACTTTTGATTCTAAGGGATAAAATCAACCTTAAGAATCATCGCTTCATATGGAACCCCAAACCCATTTCAAGCCTTTCACCCGTATGAGACTCTAACCCACTTAAGGTTCCATAGTTTTTGGGACTTAAACCTAGGTCAAAGTAATGGTGTGTACATCCCACATCTTACTCTATATAATCATCACACTTGAGACGACATAATCAAGGGTTTTTTTCTTACTATGTGATTAATAAAGCATATCATGATTGTATTCAACAACCACAAGGCGATTACATCACCTTAGTATTCACAACAATAACACATGTTCCATGCAATGGCTAAAATCTTATCTAGACAACCACTTGCTCATGACACACACCTAGGTATCGTATGCACAAGCATTGTCATCTATGTTATTCATCACATCCTAATTATCTTGCTAATTCATTCCATTATTTGCTCCTAAGTTTTCCTTACCAATCTTTATAAATTTTCAATCATATTATCATTCATTCACAACAACGATTTATAGATAGGAAAACATGCATAACAATCACAATCTATGGTAAATAACATAAGATAACTCATAATAAGTTTAACCAATACAAGAGAAATTCCCCAAATAAGGAACAAAGAAGTGATGAACCCTTGGCAAGGCTCAGGAAGTGGCAAAAATGGAACATGGTCGCCCGGCGAGTAGCTAGCGAGCTAGCTCGCCTGGCAAAACTGATAAAAAATAGTTTTCCTCGAGCTCGCCAAGGATCGCTAGACGAAGGCGTTGAATTCTGTAGAAATGCAACAGGGGTTTGATGGTAAGGAAGTTTTTTTTTTACATTTAACCCACACACGATTCTTCCATAACAAGAACACAACATTCAACCATAATCACATTAGGTCATAATAAGCATGAACAACAACAATAATCATCAAATTTCTCATGGGTAATGGAATAAAATATATCAACAACCAACTTCATCAATTTCTTTCTTATAATCTGCAACCCTAACTTCTACTACATATTGTTTCTACCTATAACCCACCTTGCTAATGAGATGAAGAAGTTGTTGATAAATAATGAGATGAAATGATTATGAAAACCCAAGCTCCAAGTTCTTTTAAGTTCCTTGTTTTTCCTCTTTTCCATAAGTCCTTTGTCTTTCTCTCTATGTTTCTCTAATGTTGTTTTTTCTGACACATTGCAAGTGAAATGATAAATGCAATGTTACATGAGAAAGTTGGTAAGACTTTGCGGTAGAAACATGTGGTCACAAGGCAAAGAAAAAATTGTGTGGGTAGTAAGCAATTATAAAGGTAATAACAAATATATTAAGCGGTACAATACTTAATACTTGTTCTACTAGAGTAGCTGACTCATTATTAATATTATCAAAATGTCTATTTTGTACCAATTAATAAAAGGCCAGTCTTGAATAATATTAATTAAGTCAATCTCAATTTACTAGTTACTCTAATCATCCAAACTGATAACTTTCAAAGCATATAGGAACTCAGTTGATCTCAACTGATATGATTTAGAGTATTTAAGGAAACATGAGTAGCTTGTTTGGTTGAGGTTGGCCAGGAAATATGCCAGCAGGAGCAGCAGTGACCGCTTATTGCTGACTACTTGAGTTATTTGATTTCTAAGCATCTTGTTATGAGTAGCCATGACATCAACCATGGTTGCCAATTGTTTCACCAGGTCATTAGTATGAACATTTTGATTCATGAACTCTTAGTTCTGTTGGGTCTTAAATGTGATGAAGTTTTCTAACATGAGCTCTAGATTCGATTTTTCAGGAGCAAGGGAGCAGCAGGGGCTTCTTTTTAAAATTTTTGAGAGTTAGGTGGAGGACTTAGAGCAAACAATGCATTATTGTTCATGTAAGAGAAATTATGATGGTTCTTTCATCCAGGATTGTAGGTGTTCGAATAGGGATTACCTTCGGCATAGTTGACTTGATTAGGGACAATCCCTATCAATAGTTAGCAATCAGTAGATATGTGGCCTTGGACTTCTCAAATCTCACAATTTGGAGCTATAACAACCACGATGGTTGGAGTGGTAATGGTTAGATTGTTTATCTTTTGGATAAGTGCCTTGACCTTGGAATTCACGTGATCAATCCCATTGATTTCAAACATTCCTCATTTCCTCTAGGATTTCTCGACTTGAACTCGTTCAATTCCCCAACTAGTAACTTCTCAATTACAACATCGAACCCCAGTTTTGTAGCCTCCAATCCATTGGAACATATGGTCATAAATAACATAATCATGTTTAATTGTAAGTTATTTTTCAACATCTACATGAACAACACCCGATAACGGACATCACCCAATTTAATATCCATATACTGGACTCTCTCGGACTCCCCAACATAGCGTCAGGGTGCACCATAACTACAATATGTCATAACATAAGTAAATTGCAATTTTACATAAAAAACAATCAAGATTTTATTTTCCTGAATTATATGCAACATATTCTGGATTTTAAAATCCAGACTCAACATTTGTTTTTAACATATAAAGAAAGTTTTTACAAGCAATAATGAATGAAATACATGAACACTATCTTAAATTTCAGTCTTTTTGTTCCATTTGACGTGAAAAAAAAGTTATTTTAAAGTATAAAACTTGATTGAGTATGAATGAAGATTTTGGTAGAAATTTCGTAAATATGGTGATATAATCATGAAAGGAAGAATACATACAAGGTGATGTTATATTCGATTTCTAGCTTAGTGTTTCCGGATTCTATTATTTAGGTTGTATCTAAAACTTGAACTCTAAACACATTTTTGACAAAAATGAAAGTGATTTAGTAACGATAAAATTCAGTGCGTAATAGACGTGTCCGAATTTTAAAATTCAAAATACACAAAAGCTATTTTGGAATTTCATAATGGTGAATGTTCACCATTTAATAGCAACCCCTTACTTTAAACTCAACAAAAGACACTATATGTGGACCTGAAAGGAACATAATAAACACACATTAAAAGCCCATTAATAAATTGGACACAGCTATGTGAATCATTTTGTCCAAATTCCAAAATCATAAATAAACATAGGATTAGTGTTAGAACAAAGCCTTGTTCTCTATTCTCTCTACTCCACCGTCGTTTTGTATTTGTTGCTTATTGGTTTCACTCACTTCACCAAAGCCCTCCGTAGACTTTGAATATGGAAAATCTCTGCCCCATTGACGACTAAAGTGCAAACTTTGCATCTCTTTTTCGTCGAAGGAGGCGGAAATACAACCTTCAACCCTCGACCAATATGCAACCGTGTCTGTAACGCTACCCATTTCAACTACCTCCACAAGCTTCGTTTTTTTCTTTCTCAATCGCAGTTTTTGGGTGATAAAATAGTGGGAAATTGAGGAATTGAAAGTTGGGGGTAGAATCAATTGATGGGTCTCGTTTCGAATCAACGAGGCTCGAGAACAGAGACGAAAACCCATGAGGGTTTACCAGTTTCCGTTTCGCCAGGAGGTGGTGCAGCGGTTGCGAAGAAGAAATGGTCGAGTTTGTTGCCTTTATGTGTGGCTCTTGTGGTTATTGCAGAGATCGCGTTTTTGGGTAAGTTGGATATGGCCAAGAATGCAGCAATGGTGGCTGACTTGTTCTATCGGTCTCGTGTGGTTGAAAGTGATGATTTGGGGTTAGAGATGGTGGTTGGTGAGAGAAATTTGGAATCAAAGAATGAAAGCTGTGAAGAATGGTTGGAGAGAGTGGATGCTGTTACATATAAAAGGGACTTTGTTAAGGAACCTGTTTTTGTTTCTGGTGCTGAACAGGTTTATTTGATTCTGCTTATTATCTTCTTCTTTCATGATCTAGTTATGATCTTACTCATATGTGATTTATAGACCTTTTGGCTAATGTTTTTTTGAGAAGGGGTGAAAGGGTAGTTTGTAGTTTATTCAAAGTTGGTTGATTAGGGTATTGTTAGCATATTCAGTCTCATATCCTGCTCTTAATCTAGTTTGTAGTTTATTCCCTAAAGAACCACTGACACCTCTGAACAAAGACCTTGTCCTTGTCTGTGTCGGTTATCGATACCTACACGAGAGTGACATTTTTGATTAAGTTTAATTTATTCATTTAAATTATTCCCAGTTATTACTAGTGTTGATGTGTTGGTATCTGGTGTCTGTGTGTGTTTGATAGATTTTTTTCCTCATGGTGAGCTATAGACTTATAGTTCCACGATTATAAACTGCAGGTTTTGAACTTGTATTTGTTTGTATATGACATTCTTTAACTGAATAGATGTTCTATTCGGCAACCAAAAAATGGATATTTTGATTTTGAGAGGCAAGATTTTAGATTTATCATGGGTTTTTACTTTTGAGCATAGCGCTGCAAACTGTTTATGAATGAGAAAGCTACAATAACACCGGCTTGGCCAGTATATGTTGCCTCCTGATGATTGTTCTTATAAAGTCTTGTTGTCTATCTAAAGTTATAAGTTCATTCAATTGCAGGAGTGGAGATCATGTGCAGTGGGATGTAAGTTTGGGTTAAGTGGGAACCAGAGACCTGATGCTACATTTGGTTTACCTCTACAAGCTGGAATGGCAAGTGTTCTACGATCAATGGAATCTGCACACTACTATCCAGAGAACAATCTTGCCATGGCACGACGGTGGGTAAGCACTGTTGTAAAGTGTTGAATTGGATCATTTGTTTTGTATATGTTGCTTAATATTGTGTTGCCTATTTTATGATGGTTTTGTATTGCTCTATAGCTCTATGAGATATATAGAAGCGTTGATAATTAAGCTGATATTACTATCTTATTGTATATTAGGAAGGGATATAACATTGTAATGACAACTAGTCTATCGTCTGATGTTCCTGTTGGATACTTTTCCTGGGCTGAGTATAACATCATGGCACCGGTAAAGCCAAAAACTGAAAAAGCTCTTGCAGCTGCGTTCATTTCCAACTGTGGTGCTCGAAATTTCCGGTTGCAAGCTCTTGAAGCCCTTGAAAGAACTAACATCTCTATTGACTCTTACGGTGGTTGTCATAGAAACCGTGATGGAAGAGGTAAATTATAATAACTTTGATAAAATTATATATTAATCTCTTATTATGATGTTTTCGAAATTGAAGTTGCATCATCCCCTTTGTTGGTGAGTTATCTTGTTTGAAATATGGAGGAAGAAAGTAATTGGATCGCAGATTTTAGAACTTGAAAGATCGTATCATGGTTGCGATTGCTTCCTAGTTTTGAGATTAATGTTGTCGGCATTTTGTTAATGAATATTTGTATGATGAATATTTTATTTCTTCAGCAGTGAACAAAGTGGAAACTCTGAAGCACTACAAATTTAGCTTAGCATTTGAAAATTCTAACGAGGAGGATTATGTTACTGAAAAATTCTTCCAGTCCCTTGTCGCTGGTATGGAATTTATTCATTATCTACCTTCACCTCTCTTCCTTTCATTTACTAGATATTCAACATATGAAAGATCATTGTTCTTGGGATTCAAAGATACTTTGTTTTGTCTATCCCGAAAAAGTACATTACGTTGGTTCTTGCTTCCGTTTGGTATCGGCAATACCCACTTACGAGGCTTCTTGTGCAAATTAATCGCATATTGCAGGAACTATCCCTGTGGTTGTTGGTGCTCCAAATATTCAAGATTTTGCTCCTTCTCCTGGTTCAGTTTTACATATTAAAGAGCTAAAGGATGCCGGGTCTATTGCCAAGACAATGAGATATCTAGCAGAAAACCCAGAAGCATATAATCAATCAATTAGGTAAATTTACACGATTAAAACAAAGTAGTCTCTCGAGTTATCCTTCTTTTCCTGCATTCCTCTCTCTTATTTAAATCATTCTGTTATTTATTTACATTGCACCCAAGAACTTAACACCAAAATTGGATCCTATGTTTCTGAATGAGCCATCTTGAGGTTATCTGATTTTAAATTGCCGATGGATTTTGTTATTTTTCTGTATTTCACGATCATCTCTGGATGAATTCTAAATTATCTTATTAATAGGTGGAAGTTTGACGGCCCATCTGATTCCTTCAAGGCCCTTGTGGATATGGCAGCTGTACATTCATCTTGCCGCCTTTGCATTCACTTGGCCACGACGAGTAGAGAGAAGGAAGAAAAAAGCCTGAACCTCAAGAATCGCCCTTGCAAGTGCACTCGAGGGTCAGAAACTGTATATCATATCTACGTGAGAGAAAGGGGGAGATTCGAGATGGAGTCCATTTACCTGAGGTACACTTCTTATTTTGATTAGCATATTAATGTGTTTGGTCAGATTTCAGAGACAGATGAAATGATAATAACTCATAATTTTGACAAATTGGCAGATCCAGCAATTTAACTCTGGAGGCCTTAAAGTCTGCTGTTCTTGCGAAATTCACATCCCTGAATCATGTTCCTGTATGGAAGTCTGAAAGACCCGAAGTTCTAAAAGGTGGCAATGAATTGAAGATTTACAGAATACACCCTGCGGGTTTGACACAAAGGCAGGCTCTTTATACTTTCGAGTTCGACGGGGATGATGATTTCAGGGGTCACTTGGAAAGCAATCCTTGTGCCAAGTTTGAAGTCATTTTTGTGTAGCATGTGATGATGATGGTTATAACATCCCTGCAATTTACATGATCATGTAACAGTAGAACTTTCACTTAACTGAGGGATACAGTTTTAGGCCAGCTCATTGGGGATTTACATTCAGAAAATATATATATGACTTCAACCATATTCAAACCCCCTTTTTGTAAGATAAATGAAAATGCATATTGAATGTTGAGTTATAGTGTTTCTTTATTTGATTATATGTAGATACAGTGATAAGATGGACCGGAAGATAATGTATTTGATTATATGTGGAAATTTTAGTAGAAATACAGGATCTTTCACCGAAGAAGAACGCATGTTTTGTTTGAATGCAGAATGAAATAGAAGAAAGAAAAATATTCTGAGGAGAAAATCGGTTATCAAATTGATGCAGTTGAAGTAGGATGGTAATGCTAAAATACCCCTATAAGGAGACTGCAATTATTGCAAACTACTTTTTAAAACCATGCTTTCAATCCCTTATTAGAATGAGATGTTTCCCTTTAAAAGTTATCTCTTACCTTTCAATACCTTAACTAAACTAATGTATAATGATTGAATTTTTCTTTTTAAAACGTGGCTAATTAAGTCGAGGTGTTACAATTAATCTCTTCAAAGTTGTTGCGCTGAAAGAAGACTAATCGCTTTTCTCTGATTGGTTGGAAATAATTGAACATGACATTTGCATACACTCATGCATACATGCATTCATGACAGGTGTTCAAAGATGTTTTTTTGTTTAATTTTGATTTGGTTTTCTCAGCAGTATTGCAAATCCGTGTTTTCACTGCTACGTAACTCAACAATTAGAGGCTAATTATGGAGCAGTTACAGACATATATGGTTGAGATGAGGAATTAGATGAAGACTTAGATGGTTCAGTTCATGGATGTGATTCAGGCCATGGCTCTTGGTCAGGACGAATTGAGGGCACTTGCTCAGAGGCCTGCAGTTGTTGTCACTGAACCTAGTATTGAGAACCCATGTCAATCTTCTGGTGTTAATCCTCATGTTGGTATTGTGCACCCACCAAATGGTGTTGATCATTCTCAGAATAATGCTGGTCCTCCATACTGCTGAAGAGTTGTTGGCACAATAAGGAAGAAGGGTTATTGAGATTCCTATTCCTCAACTGGAAATGGATAATCATTATGATGTGTTTTCTATCCAAAATGCTGATATGAGTTTTTCTACTGAAGCTGAGAAGAAGCTTTGTATGCTTGAGGAAATGTTGAGTGCTATGGAGAGCCACTTTACTCTTAGATCGTATGTTGCTGATCTGGGTCTGGTACCGGGTGTAAGACTTCCTGCTAAGTTCAAAGTCCATGACTTTGATAAGTATAAGGGAACAACTTGTCTTAAGACGCATATTATAGGAAGATGTCCGCATACTCTGATGATGAGAAGCGGTTGATGCACTTTTTCCAAGATATCTTAACTGGAGCATCATTGGAATGATATATGCAGTTAGATAGGACTTATATCCGTAGTTGGAAAGAGCTTGCTGAGGCATTCATCAAGCATTATCAGTATAATACTAACATGACACCCAACAAGACTCAGCTTCAGAGTCTTACTCAGGGGTCAAATGAGACATTCAAGGAGTATGCCTAGAGGTGGCGAGAGTTGGCTGCACGAGTTCAACCTCCAATGATGGAGAAAGAGCTTGTTGATATGTTTATGAGCACCTTGCAGGGTCCTTATTATGATAGGTTGGTTGAAAGTACTTTTGTTGGTTTTTCAGTTTTGTTAATGGCTGGAGAAAGAGTTGAAAGTGGTATCAAGATGGGTAAGATTCAAGCTGTTTTTAGTTCTTCTAATGGAGGAAAGAAACCTTATGCTGGATTCCCGAAGAAGAAGGAGGGGAAAACTAATGATGTGTCTTCTTACAAAGGCAAAGGTTGAGCTTTTCAGGCGTCGTATCAATAAGTAGCTGCTGTGTCTATTCCAACTGCACCACAACAATCATAACCATATAAGCAAACTTATGCTCCTCGACCGTATCAGTAGAGATAAAACATGCCTGAAAGACAGTTTGATCCAATTCTGATGCTGTATGCTCAGCTGCTTCAGCACTTGCTTAAACTTCAATTGATTGAACTCCGTACTTTAGGTCTTCCTCCTGCAAAACTTCCTCCCAGTTATGATGTTAATGACAGGTGTGAATTTCATTATGGGGCACCTGATCATAACATAGAGAGCTGCGAAGCTTTGAAGCATAAAGTCCAGGATTTGATTGATTAAAAAACTATTGAGTTTACTCCGAGCAATGGTTCTAACATAATTCAGAATCCAATGCCACCACATAATGATCATGCTGTGAATGCCATTGAAAGAGTTGATGGGTTGAATCTAGTTATGGATGTGATTCCCTTTGTGATACCTAGGCACTGAGTTTCCACCCAACAAATCAACTTTTTTCAACAAGAATTACGAAGTTCTGATTCCCTTTGGGATACGTAGGCACTTAGTTGCAAAACTCGGACGAATTTAATAATAAAAACCTTTTGTTTTCCCTTAATAATTCATTCATGCATTCCCTTAGCAAGTAAGTTTTTAGATATACACACCCTTTGACAAGATTATATATAGGATTCAAGTTCTTATCCTAAAGTCGAATTTGGTTGCGAGACCATGTTCATTCCCTCATGAGGTTTTCTCGATGTTTTTCCTTTTTTCGTTGGGATAAATAAAGTTCGATGGCGACAACCATCACTGACAATCATATACTTTATCATGAAGAATAAATTTCACTTGAAGCTAAACCACTCCAAAAATTTCACACTGTCTTCACCGACAATCATAGTTTTAAAACACTATTATACTCCACCTAAAGAAGAGTATACTTCACTTGAAGATAAACCACTTCATGAATTTTCACATGTCGAAACCAGGTTGAAACATTATGGTGCAACTTCCTTGTTGGTAGGAAGCCCTTCAACCACCGACATAATCTTGCACCTTGTGTAATCTTGATTGTATAAACGCATATTTGACTTGAACTTTCCACAACTCAAAAAAATTCTTCCATTAATTTTCTCTAGCCCAAACTGCATAACAAATTTTTTTTACTGCAACTTAACAACTCTTTCACAATGCTACCATTCTTTTCTGAATAGGAAGATCAGACAAAATTGTAACCACAGAGTATACTAAGAGCACTTATCCCTGGATCAAACCAAAAGCTCTTATACCAGTTGTTGGAAAAAACAAACACAATCACAACACAAAAACATAACGTGGAAACCCGCACTCTCGCAATACTATAGTAACAAGAGTATAAGAGAACAAAGAAAGTCAAATACAAGTTTAAATTGCTTTTGACTGGTGCATCTTGGAATGAAGAACTTGAATCCTATATATAATCTTGGACTCCCTATTCCTTCACAAAACTAAGCAATGTGAGACTTCAAAGAACTTGTATCTTATATATAGCATATGACTCTCTTTTCATTCACAAAACCAAACAATGTGATACTTTTTTCAATATGTATATTTTCAACCAACCCCAACCTAAACACTATGGCATCTTATCCAAACTCTACCAATTTCCATCCCTAAATGCAGTAGCCAAACAACAACGCTAGTGACTCAGCAACCGTCTCAAAATATTAATTACTTGAGAATAATGTCCAAAACACATTTTATGTCTAAATTAATTAAAATATTATGAATTTGTATGAAGTCTAAATTAAAAACTATCTTAAAAAATGCAAGCCTTTCCTTTTACAACAATAATAACAAATATTTAAGAGCACTTACATAAAATCATAATATTTAAGAGGACTTGCATTCGAATTGACCTTTAAACATGTAAAGGCTAATTTGACTCTTGAAAACCCCATAAGTTATATATAATTATTTATCCTTGACCAAACCACTTGGGGGCTTACTTGCCATACTATGGTTTGCCTTCCCTCTGATTTCTGCGGCGACTAGTAACTCAAAATCCAAGAGAGGCCAACATTGAACAACTCAATGTTAATCCAATTATTTTCAAATTAATATCTTTGTGACAGAGATTGAGTCATAGTACATCTCATTGTGGAGTACCAAATAAACATGGCCCAGTTGTAAACATGACGTTCGAGTTCAATTTCATGTTGGCTTCTTTTTCTTTTTTATTCTTCTTTGGTGGTAACCTATTTGAATTCATTTCATTTTCTGTTGTTCTTTGAAATTACACGTCATGCGTTTTTTAATACAAATTCTCATTTGTATGTATTAATAAGTGAGTACCCCACAATGGATATTTTTACACCTTATTTTTTAAACATAAATTTAACTTTTCAATTAATTTTGAATTAATTTGGATGACATATTATTGATATCTAATAAAATTCTATTAATGAATAATATCTTTACACACAAATTTAACATCAAGTTTCTACTTCTTTGGTTAGTTTGTTTGATGAATATGAAGTGAGAAATACAATGTTGGATTGTGCTAGTTACAAATTGTAGGGTTTGATGGTCTCAATTTTGAGTTTTTTTTAGAGTTTGAAAAGATATTAAAAGGTGATTTTATGAGAGTATTGCACGACTTTCATAAAAATGATAAACTTGTGAAATGATCAAATAGTAGTTTTATAACTTTGATTAAAAAAAAATTCAGAAAAAAAATCCAATTCTCAGAATCTTTTAGATTATCGCCCTATTTCTTTGGTTAAATATATGCACAATTTTTTGTAAAAGTTTTGGTAAACTGGTTGAAACTGTTTGATAATCTCATCTCAAATACGCAATCCGCTTTTGTGAAGGGTCGACAAATTCTAGATGATATTCTTTTTACTAATGAAGTGGTTGAGGATGTTAAAAAGACTAAAACATAACTTATTATGTTTAAGGTAGATTTCAAAAATGCTTATGACCCTATTGAGTGGGGGTTATTTAGAAAAATTTATGGTTAAAATCAGAGACGGAGCTAAAAAATTTGAATAGTGGGAGCAATATTACATATAAATTTATGATAAATTTAAAATTTTTATTTTTAAATTAAAAAATTAAATTAAGTGTTTGAAATAATTTATTAATCAATATATTATACTTTATATTTAAAAATAATGAATAAATATGTAAAATTTAAATGTAAAAAGTTATATATGCATGCCTTAAAAAATAAACTAAGATAAAGATAGATAAAATAAAATATACATATGATTATAATGGTTACATATACATTATGGTGTATATGGTTTTGCATTATTATACTTATATATGGGCATTTGAAACACATAGTAGTATTATATAGAAGCCAAAACTAAGTGGGGGCACATGCCTACAATGTTGGCAACGTAGCTCCGTCCCTGGTTAAGATGGACTTCCTTGATAAATGGAGATGTTGGATTTAGGAGTGCTTGAGTTCAACTTCATCATCAGTTGTTAAAGGGTTGAGTAAAGGTGACCATCTTTCTCCTTTTTTGTTTTTTTATAGCTGCCAAAGGTTTTAATTTGATGTTGAAAGCTTTTGTCAATATTGGGTTGTACTCTGGTATCAAGATGAGACAACCGATCTAATCAAAATATCACATTTACAATTTGTAGATGATACCTTGATCTTGGGTGAGAATAGTTGTGTAACATAAGAGCAACCAAATCCAACTTAAGATTGTTTGAGTTGTTTCTAGAACTCAAAGTCAATTTTCATAAAACTCATTTGGTAGATGTTAATGTTCCCTAGTCTTGACTAGTTGAAGTGCACATGTTATTAACTATAAGATTAAGGATTTACCTTTTACTTATATTGGCCTCCCAATTGGAGGAAATTCTCGCAAATTATCTTTTTGGATGCTTATGATTGATAGAATATGAAAAAAACTCTTAGGGTGGAAATATCATCAATCATCTATGGGTGGTAGATTTGTTTGACTCAAATCTGTCTCACATTCTTTCCCAATTTACTTTCTTTCCTTCTTCAAGGCTATAGTAGTTATTATTTTTAACATTGAATCTCTATTTAAATATTTTCTTTGGGGGGGCGAGGAAGCTAAAAAGGTCCATTGGAACAAATTTTTTCTTGATCAAGACGAGGGAGGCTCAGGGGATACACGAGTTCAACTTTATCTTATAGGAAAATGATGTTAGAGGCTTATATTAGATCAAAAGGGGTTGTGGTTTAGGGTTATGATGCATAAATATGGTAGTGTGAAAGGTAAAGTGCAAGATGACGGGAGAAAGATGTCAGGATGATGGAAAACTTTGAATTTTATTAGAGAAAGAGTAGACATGTCTAGGATAAGTGGTTTGAAGAGTCTCTTTTTAGGGAGGTGGGGATGGAAAAAACACTTAATTTTGGCAAGATCCTTGAATATATGGAACATTGTTGAGAGATAAATTCATTAAGTTATATGAATTTCTCAAGTTTAAGAGGCGCCGGTGGCTGATACGTGCAGATGGGGGTGGGAGGTGAATGATGATTGTTGGAGGCGGATACATCGTCTATTTACATGAGAGGAAGAATTACTTTTAGATTTCTGTATTGCCTTTGAGACATTTTTATTTGTAGGATATCAAAGTAGACAAATGGATTTTGTTGCTTATTGTTGATTGTGAGAAAATTATTTATTGAGTGCTTACACAAGATTTAGAGGTTGATTTTAGAGTCTTTATTGGTAGTGTTTGGAACTAGTTAGTCCCGTTGAAAGTTTCCTTGTTCACATGGAAAATCTTATGTAGTAGGCTTCCGATTAAAGAAAACTTGAACTGATGTGGGATCATTAACAAAAATTCCTAATATTCTTAGGAGGTTGTGGAAAGGATGAAAAATTAAGTCATCTATTTTTTGAGTGCTATTTCTTCGGGGAATATGATACAATATTTCGAAGTGGCTGAACATTTATGTTTCATATCCTAATGACCTAAGGGTTTACACATCTCTATTTTGTAGCCTTATCTACGATACAAAGGAGATTAACAAAGGCTTTCATGTCATTTAATTGACGAGTACTTACCTAGGATTTAGAGGTTGATCATACAATCCTTATTGAAAGTGTTTGGAACTAGTTACTTCCATTGAAAGTTTCCTTGTTCTCATGAAACTCTTATGTAATAGAATTTTAATTAAATACAACTTGAACCAATGTGGGATCTTTAACAACGACTATTTAAGATGCTAGGAGGTTGTAGAAAGAATGAAAATTTAAGTCACCTATTTTTGAGTGCTCTTTGTTTGGGGGATATGATACAACATTTTGAAGTGATTGTACATTTGTTGTGCATATCTTAATAACCCAAGGGTTCACACATTTTTTTCCATCCTTACTTATGATACAAAGGATATTCACAAAGGTTTTCATGTCATTTAATTGACGAGTGCTTGGATTTTACAGAAATAGTGAAATACGAGGTTATTTAGTGAGAAGGAATCATCAGCTATGGAGATTTTATGTTAAATCAAAATCACGACTTGGTGGCGTTTGGTGGTTCAACCCTTTATGTTGCTCTAGGCACATCAACTTTTGATGTCTTATATTCATTTCGTTCTGTCTCTGCATTTTGTATGTTGTAAGTTCAATTTTGTTGGCACTATCTTTAGTACTCCTTGTGCTGAGATAGTCTAAATTTAATAATAATATTTTTATTTTCTTTTAAAAAAAACATCAGTTTCTACAATTGTTAAATAAATAATACATATTCGACCTTATCTAAATAGTAGAAGATCAACACTTCAATCCAAAGAGATAAACCTTATCTTAAGAGAACTTGTGGAAAAAGATCTTCCAATAGCACATGAAAATACATCATCGAGCTTCAAAGTCGATTGACACCCTAACAAAAGACACGGTGAGTTGTAACATGTAAATGAGTTTGACCTGATAGGTCGTCTCAAAAGACATGGTGAGTTGTAACATGTAAATGAGTTTGATTGACCAAATTAGTTCAATTGACATCATATTCAGTGAGGTATATAAGTACATTAGATTATATACGACAATCATTGAACCCTATAATGGGATATTGGTTGGTGTACTTGCTAAATTTACAATGAGTGACAATCCCTAATTGTGTAGGGTTGTCTAAGGGTTTTAAGGTTATTGTTTATATAGAGAAAAGTCACGCAAGGGTTGTGAGAAGCTCTCTATATTTATGTGATTTAAGAGTGAATTGAATGTCCTTCTCAACTCTACAATTGAGGATTTTATAGAGGTCTATTGAGCCTGAATCCTTGGACCCATGAGGTGGTTATTCTGCTCCTCTTAGGAGTGTGGAAATGTTATTTCCCCCTATTCTTCAAGATGACATGGTTTTCCCCTTTGACTGAGCCTCCATATAGTGCCTAAGGATACTCCAGTCTCATATTTTGTGAGTGGGCAACAAATGATTTTTACCCAAGTCTAATAGAGGTCGAATGAATCAACCAAAGGGTGAAGGATGTAACAAATTACACAGATTATGATCCATTGACGCATATAACCTCAACTTTGGATGACGAGAGGTGCTAGCCATACACTTGTCTTAACTCATCTAAACTGCATTGCCTTGCCATCCTTTAGTTTAATTTCTTAGAGGTAGAAGGGAATTATCCTAGTACATTGGAATTCTAAGAAGACAAATTTAAAGTCATAAGATTCATAAAAATCCCGATGATTTTCTCAACATATGATAAATTCAATACAACTTAAACTAGATTGTTGATAGTTTAAGGTACACCAACTTACAACCTCATTATTGAAAGACCTATACGAAATGCACTTGGAGTCATCCTACCAAAACAAAAACAATAATTGGTGATGAAACTCTCTAAAATCATCACCATGTATGCAAATCAACAAATGACTAGACAAAGTCATGTCAATTTTCCTAATTATTTCAAAGAATATATTTTATTTGAAATATAAATGATATTTATATATTAACTATAAACTTTGTATTCAAATATACATTTAGTCTTGTTAAACCATCTTAAATGTGTGGATTGAACCAACAATATTCCGCTTATTCATAGTTAGGAGGTGAAACTCTAACAAGAAAAAACAAATTAATGACATGTAAAATCATGATTAAACCATTTATACAAAAGGATTAATGAGTTGCCACATCATATTATATTCATTAACTAACTAAAATGTAATGAACCTTTTTATTTTGACTTTGGCACAACATGTGATTTTCACAAATAATTTAGGACAAGTAAGGACAATCATCCTCAATCACTACATACTAAGGCGACTCTTAGCATCATCCAAAGGACCATTATGGAGTTCACAAACAACCTCTTGCTTACTCGTAAGGTCCTCATTTCATTCTCTTCCTCACAATCTCATCCTACAAAGATGTCCAAATTTCTCTCTTTCCCTACACACTCTCTTTTCCAACCTTCCAAATTCCAATGTCTTCCTTATCTGTTCGTTTTCTCACCCCTCCATCCATCTCTCGTCCCAAAAACACATGGAAACTATCAGCTGCAACTCCATCACTTGCACCTCTTTCAACACAGCTCGATGCATCAAGGTTGGACCCTAGAGTCGAGGAAAAAGATGGTTACTGGGTCTTGAAGGAAGAATATAGAGGAGGTATCAATCCTCAGGAAAAAATCAAGATTCAGAAAGAGCCCATGAAGCTTTTCATGGAATGTGGAATCAATGATTTGGCTAATATGTCTCTTGAAGATATCGAAAGCTCTAAACTCACCAAAGATGATATCGATGTTAGACTCAAATGGCTTGGCCTTTTTCACAGAAGAAAACATCACTGTAAGTTTTTTTTTTTTACTTTCTTTACAAGTTAACTCAAATTTAAACTTTGTTTTTTACTTTCTTTCTACACTTTATACCAGATGGTAGATTCATGATGAGATTGAAGCTTCCGAATGGAGTAACGACGAGTGCTCAAACACGATACTTAGCGAGTGTGATAAGAAAATACGGCAAAGATGGGTGTGCTGATGTTACAACAAGACAGAATTGGCAAATACGAGGTGTAGTGTTACCTGATGTTCCAGAAATTCTGAAGGGTCTTGCAGATGTTGGATTGACAAGTCTACAAAGTGGAATGGACAATGTGAGAAACCCTGTTGGTAACCCTCTTGCTGGTATTGACCCTTATGAGATTGTTGATACAAGACCTTACACAAATTTGTTATCACAATTCATCACTGCAAACTCACTTGGCAACACAACCATAACAAACTTGTAAGTCTACACTTTTCTCGTCTTAATACTTCACTCGCGAGGACGAGTGTTAATGTCAACAGATAAACTCAAATATGTCTGGTTTAACTTTGATGATATGTGCAGGCCGAGGAAGTGGAATGTATGTGTGATAGGCTCGCATGATCTTTTCGAGCATCCGCATATTAATGATCTTGCTTACATGCCTGCTAAGAATGAGGAAGGTAGATTTGGATTCAATTTGTTGGTGGGTGGTTTCTTTAGCCCCAAGCGATGCGCGGAAGCTGTTCCGCTTGACGCTTGGGTCTCTGCGGATGATGTTATTCCACTTTGTAAAGCTGTTCTTGAGACATATAGAGATCTTGGCACAAGAGGGAATAGACAGAAAACCAGAATGATGTGGTTGATTGATGAACTTGTAAGTTACCACTTTAAGCCTACGCGGACTAAGTCCTTTGAGATTACAAGTTCAAACTCTTACCACTGAATAGACACTGCTCAACATTAGTTATTTTCGGTCAATCAATTTAGTCTCAAGTGTCACTTAAGAAACATAAATTTTTTCAATTTTAGTGATTATTTAGAAGTTTTGCTCATTTGAAGAAATTTTTGCAGGGGATAGAAGTATTCAGGTCAGAGGTTGAGAAAAGAATGCCAATGAAGCAACTAGAGAGAGCACCCAAAGAAGAATTAGTTCAAAAAAATTGGGAAAGAAGAGACATCTTAGGAGTTCATCCACAGAAACAACAAGGTTTAAGCTATGTTGGCATCCACATTCCTGTTGGTAGAATCCAAGCCGACGAAATGGACGAGCTAGCACGTATCTCGGACGAATACGGATCAGGCGAACTCCGCCTAACCGTGGAACAAAACATAATAATTCCAAATGTAGCCAACTCAAAAGTTGATGCATTACTCAAAGAGCCTCTCTTGAAGCAAAAATTCTCACCAGAACCATCCATCCTAATGAAAACACTGGTAGCGTGCACGGGTAACCAGTTTTGCGGGCAAGCGATAATCGAGACAAAGGCAAGAGCTTTGAAAGTGACAGAAGAAGTTGAGAGACAAGTGGCAGTGACAAGAGCAGTTAGAATGCATTGGACTGGTTGTCCTAACACATGTGGTCAGGTTCAGGTTGCTGATATTGGGTTTATGGGATGCATGACTAGAGATGAGAACGGTAAAGGTGTTGAAGGTGTTGATATCTTCCTTGGTGGGAGAATTGGAAGTGATTCTCATCTTGGGGAAGTTTATAAGAAAGGTGTGCCTTGTAAGGACTTGGTTCCTGTTGTGGCTGATATATTGGTTCAATATTTTGGAGCTGTTCAAAGGAATAGAGAAGAAGTAGATGATTAAAGAATGCAACCAGAAAGTACATTTTTCATTACTATTTTATAATATGTTGCATAGTTTCATACAATGTGACATGAGCAAATTAATAAGGTTGACTTCATTTTTAATCACTTGATCATTGTCAGAACTCATAAATTCAACCTTATTTTTAATGGAAATAAGTTTGTTTTGTTTATATAGATTTTATATACTAAAATGGAATAGAAAATTCCACAGGCATGTCAATTTGTTATAAGAATTAGTTATTATAACATTGTAATAGTTTAATTTTTAACAGAACTTTGTAATAGTTTAATTTGTAACAGAACTTTGTAATAGTTGTGTATCATGGCTTACAAGTGAATGAGTATTATAAGAATTAGATAGAACAGAATGATCCTTAATTAAATTTAAAAAATAAAATATATTTTATTATTATAATATTTTATTATTTATCGTATCACAACGGTAAAATACATATGGTGTAAAATACATAAAGGACAAACATCAAAGGTTTTCAAGTTTCAACAACAACTAAATCAAAATGGTAAAATTTTTATATACTAAAATTGGGCCAAACTCTAAGAGGGAGCAAAGTAAAGGAGAATTTTACCGGACACTTCCATAAGTACACCCTTATAATTAAAAAAAATAAAAATTTTAACCTTCTCATAAATTCTAAAAATCTAGTAACTATACCCTAAATGATAGAAAGTTTTCATATTTATTGGTCGAAGAGGTTGGAATTGCACTAGACATTTGAGGTATATTGATAAATCTAGTAGTTGTATTTATTGAGTTTTTTTATTTATTTTAAAAATCCGACATCACGTTGCATATGTACCGAATTCATGAAAAATTTGGCATGTCAAAATTTTAACACCCTCATAAATCTAGTAACTTTGTTGATTTTTTTTTTCAATTGCTTAAATGGATGAAATTGAAAACGATGGAGTTCTAGAGATTTTACATCCATCGTTCACCATTAAAAGAATATACTTTACTGTGAACAAGGGATAGGGAAATTTGCGACAAATTAATGCTTTGCTGTGAAAAAAAAGAGGAAATTATAAATACAAACCCGTGGTCTAACAAAGACTTTAAATGCTCATAATATATTCCAGTTTAAAATCGGATAAAAGACAATTTATAAATGATAAGACAAAATGTTTCGAACGGTCCGAAATCTGCATTAATCGACTAAAATTTATACTACCCGATCGGATTTATATGGATATCTATTAAAAAATAAATAAATTTGAGTCAGTATGAACTTAATTATACAATCAAATCTGATAATTTGACTCATTATATTGTCAAATCATATTCTATTGTTAATTATTACCATCGTTAATTCGCACATAGACTACAAATAAATCTGACATATCACATGGCAATCGATTAATTTATTTATGGTAGTACACTTTCTATAAACATCTTTTTAATTTTAGCTCAAAATAAATGTTATTTTATTTTTTCAATGCAATATTAATTCATTTATACCAATTTTATTTCTAATTAATATTGTTTGCACTACTCTAACACATTAAATTTTACTCTACATTTATGACTATACATAAGTATAAGTAAAACCAGCTATTTTCTGTTTCTAGCTAAAACCTTCGTGCGTAATTAATTTAGCAGAAAATTATCGCAGAGTTGCATATAAAATAGATAAATTTGCAGAAAATACCGCAGGTAATTGAAAGTTTCGTAGGAAAAGTCGCAGCAAATTATTATTCGCAAGTAAATTCGCAAGTAATTTCCCTCTCAGGTTTTTAATTTTTATTATTAATTGTGTTTAATTCATATTTAAAATATTATAGTTATTGTTAAATATCAAAGTAACAATAATATAAAATAAAAATCTAATTTGAATAAGTCAATGCAACACTAATCACATTCGAATTTTTAAAGCAACCAAACATTACTATAAAGTCAATAACAAGTACTTCTAAAGTTACATTACTAAAAATGACACAATCAAGTTACTAATAATCACTTGTCCAACCAAATTAATAAGAAAAAACAATGCAAATTTCAAACTAGTTAACAAGAAAAAACAATCCAAATCAAAATTCACTACTAATGTCTTCATCTGATTCATCAACATCATCTTCACTTGGATTATCAGTTTCATTATTGACTTGGGGGTGGATGAGAAGAAGATGCAGCAAATCCTAAATGATTCATTAACAATGAAAGTTTATTGTTCGTTTCAATGATCTCATTTTCTTGTCATTGCAATTATTGCTTCATCTCAAACTTCTCTTGTTCTTGTCTTTGCAATGATGCATTAAGAGCATGGACTTGACTTCTCAAATCATCAACCTCTTGAGATTGTATTTTTTGTAAACCCCGCCATTTGGAGGTATGATATCCATTATCATAAGTATAAAGTAGACAGATCAAACCATGGTAGTATGCTTGAGGCCTACCGGTTGGAGTGGATACACGATCACCAGGTCAAACATCATGACTAGAACTGCCAGTTACATGCAACTTCCCATGAAGCTCTTGTGGGAATGGTGCATTATTCATTAATCCTGCTTCATTTTCACCACTATGCAAATTACTATCATTAACCAACTTTATAGTAGATTTCGGCGAGAATGCTGTGGACCAAGATCCTCCATTTGACTCAGCCAAAGCCATTATAGCATCTGCCTGCATACACCAAAGAGCATGCAAAAGTCATGATAAGCAGAGTGACCCAATAGAGTGAAAGACATAAGACCTTCTGTTATGACTTGCAAAGAAAACCTAAGAAAATGGGTGAACCATTAAAGTGAATGCCATCGAACTCTGCCCTAAATGATTTTATAAAAAAACTGGTTTTGATAAAGCCCAAAGATATTTATTGATCCATGTAGTTGGCCCAACATTGTAGGATAAGGCTTGGTGATAAAACAAACTACCAATTCAGAATTTAGGATGTAACAATTTAACAGATCTAACTTTAAAACCAAACTTTATAAGCTCCCTGAATGAAACTATCATTGCTCAACATTTTGCAAACAAAAGTTTCTATCTCAAAAGCTCTAACTTGAACTTCCAAGGTAAAATTTATAAAGTCAATACCAACTGCTCTAACTTTAAAACTAAGCTTTATAAGCTCCCTGAATGAAACTATCATTGTTGAGCATTTTGTAAACAAAAGTTTCTATCTCAAAAGGTGAAAACGTACCTGATTGTTCTTGAACCAACTTTTCCAGTAGCATCAACAACAAATACTAGATTATCATCCTTGGAACTTATGTTTCGCATATACCTTTTTAATAGGAGGTCTACTAACATTCAACATGCTTCACTTGCATACATTTTATTATATCATGATGAAACCAAATAAACCATTTTAGAATTAAATTAATTAATGCATAGAAAATTTAAGCCACCGTGCCATATACCCTCACTTCCATCACTTCTTAACTTAGACATCCACAATTTTGACAGTTGGAAAAAAACACTTAGAAGCTCCACCAAGCCTTGTTTCATACATACCTATTAAAAACACAGAAATATTTCATCAAACATTTAGAGTGCAATAAAGAAATTTCGTAAAAAATATTAAAAACACACAGACATTTTATCAAACATTTAGAGTGCGATAAAGGAATTCCAGAAAACATATTAAAAACACCATGAGACATTTCATTAAACATTTAGAGTGCATCAAAGTAAAATGCTTCAATTCTATTAGTAAGAAATACAACAAACTCAGTAACATGTAACTATAATTAACTATGGTTTGTTTCAAACACCTACAACAAATACAACTACAGATACAACAAATTGAATCATAAGAATTACCAGTGTTAGTATCAACATAGGAAGAAGAACACGACGAAGAAGTAGTTGATGAGGAAGAACTAGGTGAAGATACAAGAACTAAAAGTAAAACAGAGGACAAAATCTTCCCAGCACTAGAAGCAATGAAACGAGTAGGAGAAAATGAACAGAGTAAAAATTAGGACTCTGAGGGCGAGATTGATGTTGATGTTGAGACGGTGATAGAATGAGTCAGGTGTACGAGTGATAAATTCTATTATGTGATACAGTGTAGTTTGATACCACCACCTACATTTTACTCTGTTTTTATTTTTCAAATTTTTTATTCTTTTTATTAATTTTTTTGGATTAAAAATATATAAAATTATATTTTTTAATTTCACAAAAACAAAAAATGAATATATTAAGTAAAACTAATATTTTCTTTAATAAATTTAAATTAATTATTAAATTTTAAATTAAAATTAAAAAATTTCACAATTCACATTAAAAATAATTAATAAAATAGAACAAATAGAGATTAAAAATATCATTCTAATTTTATAAATATTTTTCAAAAAAATTTGCAACAACTATGAGATCTTAAAAAATGTCTTAAATAAGAATAATATGTACTAAAATTATCTTAAAGAAAATAAATCTAAAAAATAAATAAAAAATAATTTTTGACAAAATTTAAACAAAAACTATTATTATTCAATAAAGCAAACAAAAATTGTTGTGAAAATTATTTTAAAATAGGTTTGTTTTTATATTATATATATAAATTTAAAAAATCAATATGTCAATCATATTTTACAATTTTATTTAGTAATAGTAAAAATATAATTAAATTAAAAAAAATTTAGAACAAAAATATCACACAATCATTTATTACCACATTCGAAATAACAAGTGTTTAAGAATGAAACTCTTATTATAACTATTCTCATACTCACAAAACACAAGGGTATAAGAGAACAAAGCTCTTATTGCTTCCACAACATAAGAACATCAACTCTTAACTATGCGATCAATCACTACTTGAAAAACTCTGTTTTTCTGCGGATTTACCTGCAGATTTTGACAAAGTTTTCGCAAAAAACGTTTTATCTGCGATTCTGATTCTTCCTGCTATTTTCTGTTTCCAGCTAAAACTTTCGTGGGTAATTAATTTAGCAGGTAAAGTCGCAGGAAAATCGCAGAAAATATCGCAGGAAAATGTCACAGGATATATTATTATAAATCTAAAATCG